GAGCTGCGCTCCACGCTGGAGGCAACGGAGCCTGCGGCCTTAAAGACGAGGCCTGCTTCCAATTTTTGTTTTTAAGGGCGCCCTTTTTTAGGGTAGGCATCTTCGTATAGTCTGCAAAACGTGGTAAGTAACCCTGGTTTTTAGGCGAGAAGCACCTGCTTGAATGTTTTGCACTGTATGACTTTGCTGGTTTGTTCACCACAGGTACTGCAAACACAGTCCAGGGGGCGTGAAAATGACAACTGTCACGCAAAATGCCTCTGAGCTCTACGCCAAGTGATTCCTTCGCATAATTAGAACCAAGTGTTCACATTCATATAGTAGATCTCGAGACTCCTGAGTCAGGCAGCTGCCATTACAAATAATCTTCCAGTTTTGCTACTCTGCTGGGAACAAACATAAATACAAGAACAACGAAAAAGACATCCTTTGGGTCCCACTACGTAAGCACCCAACCCTTACTGCGTGGGAAGGAAGGCGACTGCCGACTGGTTAGGGCTGCCGCTTACGCAGACTCGGGTCTGAGTCCTTACACCTGACTAGGCTTCGTGATTGTGGGCAAATCTTTTCAGCAGGGATACCCCCAAGTCTGGAAGATGAGTAAGCTGAAGGGACTGGTTATGTCAGAGAGCAAAAAACTGCACAGTTCAGAGTTCATATTAGATCTTACTTTCTGTTGATAGGTTGTAGCTATTTTCTCCCCAAAACAGGGCAGAGATCGGTTTGTTACTCTGACATTACCCTTTGATACAACCGTATGCATACAACCTTATTTAAAGCATCAGATAATTCAACATGCACAAGATGAGCTTTTTGCTATAGCAGAAAATAATGGAGAAATGACTTACAAAGCATGACTGTAAAAGAGAAGTTTGTATCAAACCATTGTTTTAAACATCAAATAATGTTTTTAAAATGTCTAATTCAAATTATTATAATGCTTACATGTTTGAGAGCAACAAAGGAGTAATAATTTGTCATTTCATCACAGCACTTTAAAATAATTATTTATTATTTTAATATAATCACTTTACTTTTAACACAAAGGTATTGTAAAGATTATTGTATCAGTCTATTAGACTCTTGGAGACCGTAGTATTGGGAGTCACAGACAGAAAGCAGCAGCAGATAATTAAGTTGACCAACAACATAACGACTTTATACATTCGGTTCTCCGAGAAACTCAAACCTTTCTGTTTTTAACCTGGACCTTAAAATCAACAGTCATGGGATATGTCTTTTCAATACAGGCATTTCTTTTTTGTCTCATGAAACACAATTCGGTTTTGACTGTATCACACGTTGTTTACAAACTGCCATTTCCCTCTGACTGCTGGCACCCATCATCAAAATTGTTAGTATTTCACCCAGTTCATGATGTTGTCACTTCTGTATTTTTCCTACAGCTACTTCAGTTTCTTTAGCCATCGAGAACGTTGGTGGCAATACAAAAGCAACCATAGGCTAATTAACTATTTCTGCACACCAAAGGAAAAGGTTGCTGAGGGAAAAGGGGAAAGACGTTTCTGCTTTAAAATCAGGTGGGTTTATTAAAGTATCTTGCTGGCATCTGCAGAGAACAATTCGCAGTTATACCGCTGTTTACTGCTGCAGAAGTGCTGCCTGGCTGCTTCCAAACTGTTAGCACAAAGATCACGTTTTTGTTCTGAAAGTCAGTCTCTACAGTGGCTTGGGAGCCTATATAAACTGGAACCTAAAAGGAGAACATGGCAGAAGATGCTGCCAGAAAATAATTTCATTTTGCTGGTTAATTTACTGACAGCCTGAAAACTGCTCATTGAAGGGTACTATAGTTCAGTTACAGTACATGAACCCCCAGAAAAACCTAAGTACAGTCAAAGAGCAGTGCCACAAAATGGTGTTGCCAAACCATACACTGTCTTTATGATAAAACAATTCCTTACCATCTGTAGTTTGCCACATGCAGGGATTCTGATGATTTAACTGTTAGCCTGTGCTGTGAAAATAAAAAACAGGGTAGAAGAAAACAGGCCATTTTTTATTTATAATAGTCAACAAAACCAATTAATTTTGCAAGGGTGCTAGTAATAACCTATTCCCAACTTTGAAACAGAATAGAGTCTACAGACTGATCCTTTGTGTTGTAGGAACACAAATGTGTTTCACTGTTATGTATTGAATCCTCTCAGTCTTGCTTTACTTACTTACTGGAAATTACATTACATTTATATCTCCATTAGCTTTTCTGAATATAGCACCACAGCCTTGTAATTTAAGGCACTGGAAGCCACACAGCATAGAACCACCCAAATTTTGAATACTCTGGAAGAGGTGGGAGAATCCAACTTGGACCAGGACAGACCTCTATAGTCTACACAGCAGAAACAGAACTGTTTGTACAGTACCTGGTACACGAGCATCTCAAACTCCATTGACTTTGGGTAATAAGAAACTCACTGAGAACATTTAATATTCGTGCTGAAAACCTATTCTGTTAAAACATCAGAAGAGTTCCTGTTGTTTGAAAGAGAAATTTCTCACCTTAGAGACACTAAACAAAGCCATTTCAAAAACATTGCAAGTTTGCTTATCAAGTCTCCACACTGTTTCTTAAGATTTTATCTTTTCTTTTCTGAAAATGAAAGCTTGCATGAAACTTTACACAAGTTGTCCTTCAAGGCAATGGTCAAAAATGCCTACCTTGTAATGTGCACACACAACTGGTAAACTGAGCCAGAGGTTAGAACAGGTTAGAGAACTGCATGCAGCACACAGCCATTCAGGATGGGTAACAAAATGAGATTCTTTCAGTGAAATATAACCTAGCAGAGAATGCTGTAAACTGAGAATTTGCTCTTTGCTCATTTCTGCCAACTTTCAGCACATGCTAGTCCAATGTTAAACCTCTGCAGAGCGGAAGAGAACCATGCCATTCCACGAATTAGCCAAGGGTGGACCTCTGTTTTCAGACAGATCCCTTTCGATTTCAAGTGACGAACAGCCAGTTCTGCGGAGCCAAGACCAGAGCACCTACATAGCTCACAAGTCGTTTCCGTGTAGAACAGCTAGTGTTTTGGCAGCGTATTTTTACTCTACAAACTAAAATGCACCAAAGATGTCAGAAAACTACACAAATTACCTCACAAAGATGCCCAAGGACACAGCAGTCTTTCAACACGCAGAGCTGAGAGGTACAGGCAAGGCGTACTGCTCTCCGAGCTAAATGGTGTCATTATCTCAGCATTCTACATCAATTTAAGTCAAAAAACCCCAGAGCCACTGTTCCAAGCGCAAGCTTAATTAACCCTAAGAGACGAATTCCCTACCTTACAGGTGACAACCATCTGTCACCACAGTACGACCGTTAGTCCGAGCCCTCCCGCC